TTAAATTAATACCATATGCATACACACAAGAACCACTTATTTCAGCGCCAACCATTTCCGTTGCACCACTTACGTGTGCAATTTCCGTTTGCAATTTCCGTTGAATTTGCCAACTGACTCCCAACCAACCAACTGCCGCTAAAGAAGTTTCACTTCAAAAATGGTAGCTGAATTATACTAGTTACATTACCATTAGGCACCTAAAACAAAAATTATATTTGGAGTCTCTTTCAAATAAGCTGCTATTTTATAAAATTGTATTTTAAATAAAAAAGTGGCCTGAAAGTGAATACACATAGTTTTTGAGTGACCTGCATTTTTTCCCATTTCTTTTTGTTTAAGGCACAGCATTCAATCGTGCAATTTCATGGCCATTTATTTTAACTGATACAAGAAATGTCATATAAACGCCCCTCTTTACTACTTCCAGAGGTTTACATACTTTTCGAAGGCGAGGCAAAAGTACGCTGGGAGGAGAGCAGATCGCGTTCACGCGATGGCAAAACAGAACACTATACCGAACATTTCCGTGGCAACGAAACATATTTGCACTCGAAGACATGTGTGCATGCTGAAGGTACGCTACAGCCGGGAACCTATACTTACACATTCAGCATACCGCTGCCGCTACAATGTCCCACATCCTGCGTAGAGAAATATGGAAAAATTGCATACGAATTAACGTTGGTGTTAAATCGACCTTATAAATTTGATAATGTTTTCAAACAACCGCTGACGGTTTTACATCAGGTGAACTTGAATTTGAAGCCGGAGCTATTGGTGAGTACGGAAATGTGTCTTAAATCGGAAACGTAGACCTTTAGAACACTTTATTTATATACTTTCAGATACCAATTAAAAATGAGGATATCAAATATTTCTGCTGCTGGCCCTGCTCTTCGGGCCCAGTGATGTCAACGCTAATAATACCTTTTGGTGGTTATGCGCCCGGTCAGGCAATTAAATATAAGCTCGAGATAGACAATCAATCGACCGGCTATGACTTGGAAGATGGCGTTGAGTTGAAATTGAAACAAGTTTATAAATTTGTAGCACAAACACCACATCACAAGACACGCTACCACACCAATACGCTGGCGCACACCGAACAAGGCATGCAATGTTTGCGACTCTCTAAGCGCCTGATTGAGGGCGCACTGGTCATACCACCTGTGCCGCCCAGTTCGCTGACTGACTACATTATTGGTGTGCGCTATGAGATTAAGATGTCCATAAACACTGGCTGCTGTCATACTGATTCCGAAATAGTTATACCCATTACAATTGGTACAGTGCCTTTGGCGCAAAGTGCCACTAATCCTGAGAATGCAATTGCCTTGCTGCCAACAGCGCCGCAGGAGTCAGATACGCCAGACACACCTTTTGGCAGCGATGCGCCGCCAAACTATGAAAAATTTAGTAAGGCATACATTTTTTTGTTTTACAGAATTCTCAATGTGAATAATTTTGTTTCATATTTCACCCAACAGAGCCACCTTCTTTTGAAGAAGCTACTACTATTAGTGGCAAGTTCATCGATCGCGATGTTGATGAACGCAATCGCACGGATGAATTCATACCAAAATATCCGATGTACACAAATTTCGCTGTTCCCACTGCGCCGGTAATAGATGATGTTAGAATGCCTTTGCTGCAGTTACAGGGCACGACACCACCGCCTTATACGAGTAGTACGTCTGAAAATCAGCAGTCAACATCTGCAACGCGCGAAACTACTGGATATGGTTGGAATAGTTGAATATCAAAAGTGGTTTTGCTACAATTAGATATGAAAAATATGTACATACACTCACCAAATGTAGCACGATATTAAGAAACCTAGAACACATTGGAAGGGAATTTTCGTTCTATATTCGCTGGACGAGTTATTTATGTTTCTTTTGCTTGCGAAAAAAGTGGTTACAAAATTAAGGACATACATAAAAATGTAGGCGTCCCAGACTTAATTCATAAAATGAAAAACAATTATAAAAAACTGGTTTCCACACAGATTCAAAATATTTGGACAATTTAACTTCGCAAAAATATGAAATTAAATAAATATACATACATACCTGTGAAAAATGTTACTTATGTAAATAGATAAGGTGCCATTAAAAATGTATAGTTATAAGTTTGCCAAAGTTAATTTGCGATTTGCATATTTCCACGTGATAAATTGTATATCAAAGAGTTCTAACTTCTGTAAAATACATTCACGAAATTGTTATTATACCCCATGATGCAATAAACATTTTCTGACATATGGCTTTGACATATGGCAAGGGCGTTGAAAATTTATAGGGGATCTAAAATTGTGGTTTTAAATTGTCCGCCACTATTTTCTTTAAAACCGCGTTAAATTTTTCAGGGTTTAATGTAATTATGTGACTACTACAAATATGCATGCATGTGTGTATTAGACTAAATGCCAACAAATACACGGTACGTCCTGTTACTACAAACTTATTATATTTATAATATTAATGGTTTATAAAAGAAATCGGAACATTTTTTTCATTAATAATTCTTATTTTCGTGGCCGCTAGCAGAAAAATGAAGATAGAGAGGCATTTTTAGGTTTTTTCTTAACAGCGGTCGCCTCTAGGCAGGAAATGCCAAACCTCCGAGTGTGTTCTGCCATGAAAAACAATTTTTCATAAAACTGTAGATCCGTCCGCCTTGTGTGCTTTTACCGATGTCTATGTCGTCGGCATATGCCAGAAATTCAGTTCTGCGGATCTTATGACCTTCTCCAATAGCAGATTAAAGACATCACCCGAAAGGGAGTCACTTTCTCTGAAACCTTATTTGGTATCAAACGGCTCGGAGAGGTCCTCTCAATTCTGATGGAGCTGGTAGTATCCCTCAACGTCATTTTACACAGCCGTACTAGTTGCATAAATATAACTTTTTCTCGTATAGTCGAAATCGGCTTTGAAATCGACATATACATAGATGGTATGTGTCGATCCTATTCTGGCCCATCATTTCCAAGATTTGGTGTATTTGGAATACCTAGTCTATGGTGCATTTGTCAGGTCCAAAGCCACACTGATGCGGTTCAATCAGTTCTCTGACGTTGCGTTTCAGTCTTTCACACGATACGCTCGATAAGACCTTGTAACTTATGCTTAGAAGGCTGATCCCGCGGTAGTTGGCGCATATGGCAGAATCATCTTTCTTGTGTATGGGGCTGAAATCACTTTAAATTTTAGTCGTTGGGCATGCATTCATCTGTCCATATTCTGCATAAGCATTTATGCATGCACCTTATCACTCCACTATTTAGGTACGCTCTGGACATCGGTAACTAGGTCGCCATGCTTGTTCTTACGGGAGTTCGCCTTGGTTTTGGAACTGTTCGTAAGTCGCATATTTCTCTAATACAATATTCGGGCGTTTTTCCTGTCAGTCAGTATTTCAAGCTCTTCGCGCTCACGTATTTCGGCCTCTGTCTTCTTATTGCTGCAAATACGTCTCGTTTCCCTCTTCACTTCCTACGTATAATGGTCCGATATAGCTCACGTTGACCTCGGTCGCAGCGCGCCCTGTAGTTGCCATAATTTTTTCTGCAACTTCTTGACCCTCCTTGTCGTAAGAGTTGTTCTTTCGGGTAGACATTTTTTACTGCATCGAAGCTCGTAAAAATATTGGCTGCAACGAGATAGTTTTACGAGTCAATGAATGGCCCTCGGAGTGTACAAACTTCTAAAAACTTGAGGCGTACCTTCTGTCTCGTTTTTCGATCTGTAGACAGCCATGTAGCTTGATGGATCTTTCCATGCTGGAACCTAATAATACGTAATACCAAGTTTTGGGTCCCGGTGAAGTCTGGTAGCCACAGTGCGTTATCAGCCCTTTCATCGTTGAGACTGAATTTTCCGACAGTGGCGCCAAATATACCTTCCTTGCCTACCTTGGTAATGAAATCGCCAAGCGCGATTTTTGTATTGTGTCGGGGACAGCGCTCACATATACGCTACACGCGCTCACAGAAGTGATCCTTGGATGCCTCTTCCCTCTCTTCCATTGGAGCATTAGACGTCGAAAGGCTCCACGCTTATCTTCCCGTGCCCCGTCGTTCACATTTCTTAGATAGCTGGGATGTTAGCCTAAGTCTTCCCGAGGACATCAACTAGCCGGAGAGGGACCCCTTCCCCGTCTAGGGTGCGGATATTCCGGGTGCATACACTCAAATCGTAGCCCTTTATACGTTGCCGCGATCGAAAGAAGGTGGTCTCATCCGAGGTCTGCAGTGATTTTTCATTGGACGGATTTTCAACGTGGCGGGACCCAAACCCAGCGCACGCGAGCTTTTACCCCTTGTCAATTCAGCTCGCTCCCGAACGGGTATTTGGGTGTTACCCAGAGAATACGTAGGTATCGACGTCGTGAGTTGCAAATTGAACCATAAGCACCGACGAGTTGGCAAGGGACGTTACATCTTCCATACTGGTGGGCCGGAACCATTTTGGGGACTCAGCTGGACTTCCTCGAGGCTTAAAATTGAATCGTGACTTAACTCAGAACGCAGTAAGTACTGGTACAGAGGTAATGGGCCTTAAACAGGCCAAACTTTTTGGTTATCCTTTCGCTAGGAAGGAACAGTTCCGATGTCAAGTTGCTTGTTGTCTATCTGACGGGCCATAATGACCTGCGCTCTCACATGCACCGGATTGGTATTCCCACAGAGGTGGATTGCCGTCTTTGTCTTGAAGACGAGGAGACGTCGGAGCACATTACGTCGATACCTGAGTGCAAGATCGACCTATCTCGGCAGCCAGTTCGAAAACGCCCTATCCCAGAGAACATTTCAAGAACACCCTACTTCAGAATTTGAATGAAGAACGCCGTATTTCAGAAAAAATCTACTTCCCACACTAAAAGATATGCGAAAGAAAAATGCTCAAAATTATTTTAGAAAGCAAAAAAGTCAAACAAAAATTTGTCTTGATTTCAGTTTCTTGTTTACGGGCTTATTTTGTTAAAGTTTGGAAATGCCACCTTACAAATTTACCTTCGAGCGAGATCCTCCGCTGTACATGTGTGGCGAAAAAGTAGTGGGTACCGCAGAGCTGACCTTACTGAAAGAAAGATCATTTGAAGGTAAATAATTATAAAAGTGATAACATTTAAAAACATATCTCTTCTTACATACATATGTATATGGCGTCGTTTGCGCAGACATACGCATTGGCTTTCGAGGCATGGCCACCGTGAGATGGGTAGACACATTGACACGCTTTCCGAAACTTTATTCCGCCGAAGAGACTTATATGGAAATTGAGACGGTCGTTTTTCAAGGCGGTCAATTGCTGCCTAGCACATACAAATACGAGTTTGACTTTCGTGTACCGGACGTATGCCCGACCACATGTACCACGGATATTGGAAAAATTTATTACGAATTGTCATTACTTTTGGTGTACGAAGATAAGGAAATGCGCAAGTTCACTAGCGAAGTGATGGTGCTGCAGACTTACAACATAGAAAAACTGCCCAACGCATTGGTGAGTGCAAAGCTGTTGTAAGGAAGTGCATACAAAGTTAATAAATAATCCACCCTACCACGCTTTCATTACCAGCTGCCGGTTATACGTAGTGATGAAATTTTCTTCTGCTGCTGGCCTTGCGCTGCCGGTCCAATCGACGTTCACTTGAAATCGGCGCGCGCTGCCTACATACCAGGCAATACCATCGAGTTCACCATTGAAATGACTAATAAGTCGAAGAGATGCAAGTTTCGTACACACGTTACCATATACCTTATGCAAGTCTATAAATTTACTACATATTTACCACGACGCCGCCAACGCTACATCTCATATGACTTGAAAAGCGTGAAAAAGGGTATAATTGTGCGGTCGGGCGATATGGTTGTAGTTGATGATCAGTTCGATGTGCCACCCCTACCGCCATCCACACAAGGTACACACATAATATCCATTAAATATGAGTTACGCCTGGAAATGCGCATCAGTGCGGTGTCACAAGCCGTATCGGATTTGGTGGTGCCCATCATTATAGGCACAGCTGTAGAACAATCTGTGAGCTTTCATGTACTTTCTATTAGCTATTTCGCTAGAGTAATTAATAACGTTTTTTGAACTATCCCTCTCTTTCCATTTAGAAATCGCCGGAGTAATTGCTGGTAGTAGACATTTGAGATAGCTCTCCTACCGAAAGCCCTCGATTTGTGGATTAGTTATGTCTAAAGCTAAAATATATCTACTAATAGATCAAAAAACATACTTAGTAATAGGTATGCATGTAAATACGTCTTTATTTCACTGATTAAATATTTATTCATAGTTCAGTGCTTGTAGTTTGCTTGGTTCATTACAACATTACCCAAATACATTACAATCGATTGTTCGCCTTTCAGTCTAGTAGAGATCCGGTAGTGGTTGATATTGCCCTTGTTGTTGTAGCTGTCGTTGCCACTGTAGTCGTGCTTGTGGACGCCGCGATAACATCATTTGTTATTGGAAGCACACTCTCCATATTATAGTATAGATATTTTGGTTTAAAATCGGTTTGACCTAAATCCCTTCGTTTCGATTTCTTCATCTCGCCATCGAATCTTATTTTCGGCATGTACTCTGCTTCACGATAGGTGGAAGAAGCTGAAAAAGTTATTTATTTTAATATATATTTGTGTAGTACATATAAAAAAAATTGTCTGTAAATTATAGACAGGGTCGTCGAGAGAAAACTCGGGCTCGGACTGAAAAATCACGAGCGCCCATACATAAATTGTATTAATTTAAAAGCATGTGATAATTTTCTTTAATGTAAATACTCTGAAACAATCAGCATGAATCCGAATATATTTATGATAAAAGCGTATAACGATAGACCAATTACATTGTAAGAAATTATAATAAAAAGCCCGAGCCTGGGGAGATTCATCCTTTTCCCTCTACCTCTCGACGGTCCTAACTAATTAAAAAAAAATATATATATATTAAAAGGGATGGGCATTATAAGATCAATAGAAGCCAAATCAAAATGTTTTTCTGTCTGTCTGTCTGTATGTTTGTACGCGCATCATTCGAAAAGTAATGCACGGAAGCGAATGCAGTTTTCAACGATTTATTGCCCGATATCTTACATAAAATATGGAAGAAAAAAATTTGAGACTTGTCACCTGTTAAAAAATTGCAGTTTAGGTAAATTGATAAGGTAAATTAAATACTGCAATATGGCTGTCAAAAGAAAGATGTTTAAAAAAATTTTCGTGGAAAGTTGCCTACTGTTTAAAAATTTTAATTAAATTTAATTAAAAGGATAAATTAAATATCCAATATGGCTTCAAACTAAAGAGGTTTGGGAAATTTTACTGCCGAAAATATTTGTAAGGGGGTTGCCACCGGTTTGAAAATTTTTATTCAATTAAATTGGTAAAATAAAGGAAATATTTCAATACTGGTGTTAAACTAAAGAGGATTAAGAAAGTTTTCTTTAGAACATGAAACCACCTATCTGAAAAATGCACTAATTCATTTAAATAGATATGTAAGGTATGGTAAATCTTAAATTAGTACATATTTGAAGAAATTGCGACAAGTAGACCAGAGTTATAAGATTATAAATTAATGGCCTTATTCATAAAAAATTAAGTAGCTTTATAAAAGCTTTATAAATTGAAAAATGTATGAAAACTTCAATTTATAAAGCTCTTTAAACCTACTTTATTTTTTATGAATAAGGCCATAAGTTTCGAGGAAAAGGCCGATTCTAAAGACGTTCGAAAATATATTAAGTAATAACCACATTTATAAAAAATAAACAATGCTTCAGAAATCGAAAATTTCTTTGAAAATCTCCCTTCTCTCTTTAAATATATTTTATATTTTAGGATTGAGGCCATACTTTTAAGGCGCAGTGAAACACGCCAGGTATATGCTTTTTAGCAATAAAGTTACTATTTACAACAGTGATTGGATATTTATTTATCCTAAACTACAATAGACAGATATTTACATTTCATCAGAATCTGTCTATGGTTGATTGGTTAAAGTGGCGAGTTTAACAACTTCAATTAGCACTTGCGCGTGCCGCTTCAAAACCACTACTAGAAATTAAGCCTGAAAATAATCCCGAAAAGAATGCAACAGAAGTTGCTCCACAGCATGTGGAGTTGAAGAACTTAAGAAATTTCAGTGGGTTAATATCACTTATGTCTGTTAAACCGCAGAAACAGGGTTTGCCTAGAAGGCTGATTCCGGTTCTACATAGTGCTGGGCAATCGCAGATCAGATGCTCCACCGTTTCTTCTGCATCTGGTGAAAGTGGTGGTAATAAAGGCAGTGCGTTTTGCCCAGTAGTGGGTGGGGTAGGATTGTAGGTCTTTCGACCTACTGTTAGCCACCTTTTTCCAGTGCTGAGATATGCAGCCCTTGATATAGCTTAGAGGCACAAGAACATCCTCTCCCTCTGAGATATCAAGAGCTGACCTATTCTTGCCCAGCTGGTTGTAGGCATTCAGACACACTATTCTTTCCACCTGCCTCCAAAGAGTCGAAACACTTTGCGGCGGTAGAAACCTTTATGATTTAAGTGCTCTGATAATCAGGAAGATCATTATATCGCTAGGCTCTCTTATGGTTCGCTCGGAGCTATTTAGAGAAAGTCTGACTTCTTTTTCGTTCGGGTGTGAGTATTTCCTTGTCAAACTTAAGTATATGGCTGCCGATAGCCCAGGAAACTACGTGGCTGACGAGTTAGGGACGAGAGGTACCCTCGAGACAGCCTCTGATAGAAAACAGATAGTGCGAGTGCCTTTTATTGCATGTTCACTACCCTTGGATAGATAGGCCACGCTCCAGCTGAGCGAACGTCGGGAAAAACTCGGAGAATGTGCTGGTAGAATGTCTTTCTGGTCGGGATGAACCGTAGGCGGATTAGACCGGATTATCTATGTCGCGCCTGCATGAAGGATGCTGTGTAGGAATCATACTCATAAATTTTGTTATAATGCAGTTTTTATTCAACTGAGAGGAGCTCTCTTTCCAAACCTCGTTACGGCACAGCTACAAACTATAGGTTACCGTTCGTAGAAGTATCGCAAACAAGTATGCTCTTGGTAAACGTGTGGCCTTATTACGGGGAAACCACGTTAACCTAATCTAATCTATGTATATAAATAACTGGCTCAGTTTCAATAAAGAGAGGAGCATTTTTCAATTATAGTCAAATAAGTACTTTTTTCTAGTATTTGAACAGCGTTCCTTAAAATAATCCCTCAAATTTACTCACCCAGTGACATCATGGATAGGCTTCTATTGGGCGGCGTCTCTGGTTCGGGAGCTGAGGCACCAGCAAATGTATCGCTCTCGCCCCCAAGCGTTAACATATTACTCTCTCTTGCTTTCATACTTGCTCCCAAATCATCTGTAGAATGCGCAACAAAAATCGGCTGCTGCTGCGCGCTTGCTGCTCGACCCACTTCTTTCACATTCTGCAACGACTTAGTACCCACTATGATTGGCAGCTTTGCGAGTAGGTAACGTTTTACATTATTCGTAGTCAGTCGTACGCTCAACTCGTAGCTAATTTGTAGACAACTACAGTCGCCTGAATCAGTACTTGGCGGAATATTTTTTTGAGGCAGAAACAACGTTTGCAAATGCTGCACCATAGTTTCTTTCTCGTCGCATATGTTGTGCACCGTTTTAGCTAATATTGTGGTGAAGTACTGAGTTTTGGTTTTTTTGTGACCATGTGAAGCGGTGATGCGACAAATTTGAAGCAGTTCGTAGGTTAGTTCGTTTAAATGTAAACTACCCGGATTTCGTATGATGACATGTGCTGATAGCACTTCGCCTGGAATAAAGCCAACCTGCTGTAAATTCACAAACATTTCCAATGGCTTCTTAAAAAACTTCCATACAGACTTCTCCTCGACATGCACCTCGCAAGGTTGTTGTCTCACCTGCGGGCAGTGGCGTAGATCGAGTGGTTTGAGCACTTGCAATTGTTTCGAGTACCAAATTTCACTTTTGTTTTTGTGATCGACAAACACTTCAATTGTGTAGCGTATATGGCCATTGGTGCTCTCGAAACTAGATGGACAACTCTGCGGAAGCGAAACGGTGAACGGATAGTTGTACGTGCCCCGTTCAACGATTTTTGCAATTGCTGCGTGAATAAACGAGATGATGAGTCAGAATGAGTATCTAATAAATGGAGAAAGTTAAGTACGCATACCATCTTCGGAGCCCAGAAAATAATTGACACTGGACAAAAAGTCCTCTCGATTGGTGTAAACTTCCAAGCGCGGTTCTGGTGTTGTTGGGTCATCGTTAGTTGGCTCCTTTTGTGTTTGTTCATTTTTCTGCTTTGATTTTTTCGATTTCTTCGGTGGCAAATGTGTTTCCCATTTTACTTCAGCAAAACCTATATACTTTATGGCTACCGCTGGATAAAGAAAATATTTTAAATTAATTAATGAATTATGGAAAAGGAATTTTAAAGAGTAGGAGACTTCTTGAAAAAAAAGAAAGAAAAAGCAAAAAAAGCGTTGAGCAATGAGTCATTGTTCGAGCATACTAAACATGCCGCTTGATACATATACAGGGTGTCTAATAAGTACCACTACAAAGTTATGGAGAAAGTATGTTGGGCGGTGACCTCCCAGATAAAAAGTAACCTTTATAAAAGTGTCACCGTTTTCCAAATTTAGATTTTTTTTCTTTAGGTAAATAATCACAAAAATGTTTTCATTTTATAATGGTTTCTTAATATTTTTAAACTGCATTACATTTGAGTATGGTAAAGCAACTAGCTGGAAGTATTTTACAGAAAAATTTAATAATTGTGCATGCAGTTAAAGAAAACATGTTCACAACTTCAAAAATTACACTTTTATAGAGGAATTTTTTTTCTTTCGTCGTCGTACTTATTGCACACACTGTATATATACATATGCAGGTACCTTTCAGTAGCAACCGTACTTCCAACGTTAAGGTTACACATCCTGTCAGCTTATCACCGGGTTGGTATGTAGTTTTAGGATTATCCAAATGCACCTCACAATTTAACACTGACATAAGTAAGTATATATACTTTGCTCTGTACTTTCCGCTTTCATGACAATTGCTAGCGTGAGATTTGCGACTGCTTATAAAATTATTAAATCAA